CCAAAAATTTTGCTGAAAATAAGAAAAAAATTTGGAGTGAGATAAACAAGTTAAGAAAGCCAAGGGAATGCATGAATTTGTCAGTTAAAAACAGAGTAGGGGAGTTAGTTGATGGGGAACTGGAGGTATTAGGTAGATGGCAGGAATATTTTGAGGAACTTTTAAATGTCGATGAAGAAAGGGTGTCAGTAATTTCATGCACTGGCCAGGGAGGTATAACATTTTTTAGGAGCGAAGAAGAGCAGGATGTGAGTTGGGGGGGGGGGGGGGGGAGGTGCGTGAGGCATTATGTAGAATGAAAGGGGGTAAAGCAGCTGGAACTGATGGGATCATGACAGAAATGTTAAAAGCAGGGGGGAATATAGTGTTGGAGTGGTTGGTGTTTTTGTTTAATAAATGTACAAGTGAGGAGAAGGTACCTAGGGATTGGCAGAGAGCATGCATAGTTCCTTTATATAAAGGGAAGGGGGACAAAAGAGATTGTAAAAATTCTTTCTTTCTTTCAACACACCGGCCGTATCCCACCGAGGCGGGGTGGCCCAAAAGGAAAAACGAAAGTTTCTCCTTTTACATTTAGTAATATATACAGGTGAAGGGGTTACTAGCCCCTTGCTCCCGGCATTTTAGTCACCTCTTACAACACGCATGGCTTACGGAGGAAGAATTCTGTTCTACCTCCCCATGGAGGTAAGAGGAAATAAACAAGAACAAGAACTAGTAAGAAAATAGAAGAAAACCCAGAGGAGTGTGTATATATATGTTTTGTACATTTTATGTGTAGTGTGACCTAAGTGTAAGTAGAAGTAACAAGACGTACCTGAAATCTTGCATGTTTATGAGACAGAAAAATGGACACCAGCAATCCTACCATCATGTAAAACAATTACAGGCTTTCGTTTTACACTCGCTTGGCAGGACGGTAGTACCTCCCTGGGCGGTTGCTGTCTACCAACCTACTACCTATAATTGTAAAAATTATAGGGGAATAAGTTTACTGAGTATACCAGGTAAAGTGTACAGTAGGGTTATTATTGAAAGAATTAGAGGTAAGACAGAGAGTAGGACTGCAGGTGAGCAAGGAGGTTTTAGAGTGGGTAGGGGATGTGTTTACATTGAAGCATATATGTGAACGGTATTTAGATAAAGGTAGGTAAAGTTTTCAATTACATTTAGGGGTATAGAAAAGGCATATGATAGAGTGCATAGGGGAGCAATGTGGCAGATGTTGCAAGTGTATGGAATAGGTAGTAAGCTACTAAATGCTATGAAGAGTTTTTATGAGGATATTGAAACTCAGGTTAGGGTGTGTAGAAGAGAGGGAGACTACTTCCCAGTAAAAGTAGGTCTTAGACAGGAATGTGTAATGTCACCATGGTTGTTTAATATATTTATAAATGGGGTTGAAAAAAGAAGTAAATGCTAGGGTTTTTGGGAGAGAGAGGTGGGATTAAATTATGGGGAATTAAATACAAAATGGGAGTTGATGCAATTACTTTCTGCTGATAATACTGTGCTTATTGGAGATTCTAAAGAAAAGTTGCAAAGGTTAGTGGACGAGTTGGGGAGGGTGTGTAAAGGTAGAAAGTTGAAAGGGGAACATAGATAAGAGTAAGGTGATGAGGGTATCAAGCAGTTTAGATAAAAAAAAATTGGATATCACATTGGAGGAGGGGGTATGGAAGAAGTGGGCTTAGATCCCGGACGGTGTTGCTGAAGCCAGCATACACCGCACTGTGCTTGACATGACATGTGCATGACACTGTAATTAAAACATTTCACTTGACCTCTAAGGGGCTTTTCACAAAACAAGATATAATTTTAAAAGCAAATTTGGATTAGTTTGCCTGAAATGCACTTCAGATTAGTGGCTTTCTCTTGTGTTTACCAGTGATTTATTACAAGCAAACATTATCTGTACCGCATAAAAAATGCAGAATTGTGGTGTTTTTATTGTATTGCATAAATGAAGGTTAGTACTATACACCGGGGAAAATCAACTTATACAGACAGAATTTAGTGAGCTAAAGAAACAACACCCTATAAATTTTTTTGTGTGTAAATAGTTTGTATCTTTTTGTGTAAATAATTTACAAATTTTTTGTGTATGACTGCATTGAAACAGTAGTACAGTGGATCCCCGGTTCACGATATTAATCTGTTCCTGAGAGCTCATTGTAAACCAAAATTATCGGAAAGCGAATAAATTTTCCCCATAAGAAATAATGGAAATCAAATTAATCCGTGCAAGACACCCAAAAGTATGAAAAAAAAACTTTTTACCACATGAAATATTAATTTTAATACTGAAGAAGACATGCACAGTTACATGACACTTACCTTTATTGAAGATCTGGTGATGATTGATGGGATGGGAGGAGGGGAGAGTGTGGATGGTCTTAGTGTTTAGAAGGGGAATCTTCTTCCATTAGGACTTGAGGTGTCAAGTCCTTTTCCGGGGTTACTTCCCTTCTTCTTTTAATGCCACTAGGACTAGCTTGAGAGTCACTGGACTTCTGTCGCACAACATATCTGTCCATAGAGACCTGTACCTCTCGTTCCTTTATGACTTTCCTAAAGTGTTTCACAACATTGTCAGTGTAATAGTCACCAACATGGCTTGCAATAGCTGTCTGAGGGTGATTGCACATATTTCCTTAATCTTTGAAGTAGGCAACTTCTTCAATTTCTCTCTCCCCTCCTCCAAAGCAGTTTCCTCAGGTGTGGCCTCTTGCTGTTGAAGATGATCTAGCAGCTCATCAGTGGTTAGTTCTTCATTGTCCTCCTCCACCAACTCTTCCACATCATCCCCACTAACCTCCAACCCCAAGGACTTCCCCAATGCCACAATGGATTCCTCAACTGGCATAGGCTTCTCAGGGTTAGCCTCAAACCCTTTGAAATCCCTTTTGTCTACACATTCTGCTCACAGTTTTTTCCGGGGCAGAGTTCAAGCCCTCTTAGCCCCCCCTCCCAAGCCTTACCTAAAAGGGTTTTTACACAGTTGAGGTTTTGGGGCTCTGGTGGCCTGGGGGTTAATGCTCCCGTTCACATGGAAAGGGGGCCGGGGTTTTATTCCCAGCCATTAAATTTGGGGCGTCTTCTTTCCACCTTTGTCTATTTTCCCCATCAGAAAATGGGTACCGGGGTGTTAGTCACTGTGTGGGTCCATCCTGGGACACTGACCTTTTTTCCCACATGGGGAGCATAACAAGGGCTTTCTAGTAGAAATATTCATTTTTCAGCAGCCTGTATACCTTGTACAGACTGTAGTAAATAAAGATTTATTATTATTATTATTAAAGTGATCCCTTCCAAAACTCCTTTAGAGTAAATAGATTTTTCTGGGGCACTTAAAAAGCACCTTTCAAACATAGCTTTTGTACTTTTTCTTGAATTTGGGAAAATGACCTCTGGTCCTGGGCTGCGGAGAGGAGTGATATTAGGGGCAAAAACGACCTTTAATGAAAACATTCCCCCCAAAAAGTCGCTCGACAACCCCTGTGGGATACCGGGGGCTTTGCCTAATACCAGGGGAAATTAAGGTCTAATTTTTTTTCAATTAGGTAATTTTTTTTCCTTTGGGGGGCAAATGCATGGTGTAACCAGTCTAGAAAAAAATCCCTATGACCCCTGCCTTACTGTTTTTCCCTCCCAGCACACACAAAATTAGCCTTAAGGATATTCTTTTGCCTGAACGCTCTGGGAGTTTCGATGATACACTAATAAAGGCTTCACTTTGCAATCACCATACATTGGCACACATGAAAGATAAGCCTGTCTTTTATAGGCTTTGTCCTGGAGTGCCTTTCCCCCCTTAATAATGTAGGTCCTGTTTGGCAATTTCTTCCAAAACAGGCCTGTTTCATCACAAACACTTGTTCAGGTTTCAATCCTTCAGCCTCTATGTACTCCTTAAATTCCTTCACATATTTTTCAGCTGCTTTTTGGTCCGAACTAGCAGCCTCACCATGCCCAGTCACACTATGTATGCCACTACGATTCTTAAATCTTTCAAACCAACCTTTTGCCCCTTTAAAAATTCACTCACTCACCCACTAGTTGCAGGCAATTTTTTTACCAAATCTCATGCAACTGCCTAGCCTTCTCACAAATGATCGCTTGAGAGATGCTATCTCCTGCTGTCTGTTTTTCATTTATCCACAACAATAACAGTCTCATTTTCTAACACTTGCAGTCGCTGTTTCCTAATCATAGTTGCACCTTTTGCAAGAACAGCTTCCTTGATTGCCGTTTTCCTGCTCACTATAGTAAGATGGTTGATTGGGGTTTACTATACAACCTGACCAGCTCCGACACACGCACTCCACTTTCGTACTTTGCAATTATCTTTTTCTTCATTTCAACAGTCATTAGCACCCTTGGTCTCGAAGGGTTGGCACTAGGAGCTTTCTTGGAGCCCATGGTGACTTATTTTGCAGAAACAAGCACCAAAAACAGTGATAATATGGAATGTACCGAATGTATTCTTAGATGCACGCACACTGGCTGGCTTGTAAACACTGGCTCACACGGGGCAGTTCAGGCCACACGTGGACACGTCTCTATGAACCGCATCACATACCGGGTTTTGTAATGGGAACTGAGGCAAATTCTCTGCGATATAATGCATCGGTTACCGGATTTATCGGATACCGATAGCATCGCGAACCAGGGGTCCACTGTACAGTGCGGTAATGCTTTTTTCAAATATTTAATTAATGTATTTCATTGAAACTCCATGGGGTAGTGGAGAAGAATCCTTCCTCTGTAAGCCATGCATGTCGTAAGAGGTGACTAAAATGTCTGAAGGAAGGGGTTAGTAACCCCTTCTTCTGTATATATGTATTACTAACTGTAAAAAGAAGATAACTTTTGTTTCTTCTTTTTTGGGTTACCCTACTTTGGCAGGAGACAGCCAGTGTGTAAAAAAATTAATTCAGAGTATGGTATAATAAAATTAATATGCTTGTAGCCTGGTTTCTAATTTTAATGTGTTACAGGTTTGAAGATCCATCTTTGCGAGACCGAGTGACACGGGTCGTATTGTTGTGGGTTAATAACCACTTCACCGACTTCGAGATGGACCCGGTCATGATGAATTTCTTGGAACAATTTGAAGAAGGTTTGGAGAGAGAGAAAATGGCAGGCCAACTGCGTCTCTTAGACTTCGCTTGTGCCACAAAAGCCAGAGCGAGAACTGTGACTCTGACTAGGCCTAGCAGGGATGAAATACTTCATTTCTCTATTTTAGGAGGATATGAAAGGGGCTATGGTATATTTATTTCCAAGGTAAGGACTCCTGTAGTCTCTAGAACATTTTGAAATACTGTTAGTATTAAACAAAAAAATATGCCAGAATGATAAATATAATAATTTTTACATTTTTCAAAATTGTGTAAATTTATAGGCATTTTTTTACTTAAGACAAAGAAAAGGTAAAAAAATTCTGGTGTCCTCTCAGGTTGAAAAGGGAAGCAAAGCGGAGGATGTTGGTTTAAAGCGCGGTGACCAGATCCTGGAGGTTAATGGACAAAGCTTCGATCACATGAATCATGCTAAGGCACTTGAAATCCTTCGGCAGACTTGTCATCTGTCTATTACTGTCAAGAGCAATTTATTAGGTAATACTGCATGTAATATTATTTTTGTAATTTTGCTTGTGTGTGTACTACATTATTTATGTTATCACCATTAAAATATTACAAAATGTTTGAAATTATTTAATTAATAGGAATAGTAGATTATATATTAATAGAAAATGTAGATTATAATACTTTTAAATAAAACTGATGATAACCTACAATTTTTCGTACTGTTTCCAACTTTCCTTTAAAATTTAAAGTATTTTGCCTTCTTATACCTTGTTGAACATTAAAAGTAGACTTCAAGAAACGAGAGACCATAAATTTCATTACATACACATTACAGTATAGTACAAAAGTTGCTTAATATACTTGAAATAGCTATATGTATATGTAATACATCCTCTCCTCACTTAACGACGGAGTTACATTCCTAAAATCACATTGGTAAATAATTCGCCGCTAAGCAAGGAGCATACTATAATAGCGGGTTTGTGTCAACCATCTTTGATATTGTTTTAATGTCACCTTTGCACTATTTGTAACATTTTTAGTATATTTTTAAATGTTTATATAGCAGTGTACTGTATATTGTAATAAACAGAATAGAGGAAATCAGCTCCAATGTACATTATTTAGGTACGCATTCTGGTCAGAGATCCCATTGCAAGTCTGAGTTGTTGGTAAATGAGTACGTGACTAAGTGAGGAGAAGCTGCATTAACCTTTGCAGAATATTATTGATAGAAGACAAGAGGATGCATAATGAGCTATGAGTGGTAAATGGATTCATATACTGGTGACTGGAGAGAGTATTACACAGGTTGTATTCCTAAGGTGTCCATCAAGCCTAAACACAGAAACAGTATGGCACTCCTTGTCTTTTCACTAAAGGAAACTGGTAGTCATTAAGCTAGTTTACATCTCCATTGTCCACTACAGGGATTAATCATAGTGTTATTCTTTGTCTCTTTCTAGCCTTCAAAGAGATGTTGACCACACCAGAAAACTCTCCCCGACCACGATCAAGAAAGACTTCCGATGTACGTGGTATTGCTGATATTAACAGTCATATGCCAATGAACTCAACCTTTGTGTCTACCATGCATCTCCCGTATGACCAGTCACCCAGGGATAAAAGCAAAATGGGCAACAACAAAGGCTCGTTCATGACAACAAAAGCCAATAAACTTAAGAAGAAGGTCATAGAATCTCTCATGCCAAAGAATAATGCATTGTAAGTATAATGAAGGATGAATTGTTTTCTTAAAAGTTTAGATTATGTATATAAAATGAAGGGGGTTGTATGAAGTATTATTTAAGTGAGCAGTGCAAAAAAAGTATTGATCCTTTGAATAAATAGTTTACAAGACCAATAAGATGCTGAGTCAAGCACTTTGCAACACTTGGCAATCTTTATTCTGGATAAAGATTCCAAAGTGTTTCATAAAGGTTCCCAGTATTGCACAAGTATCTTATTCATCAGTATTGATGCTTTAAGTAAGTAGAAGATGGGGGGAACGGTGTAAGTAATGGAACCACCTGTTTACCCTTAGGGGAAGGAGAGGCAAAATTTAATTGTGAATAAGTAAAAATAGAGTCTCTTGAGATGGCCATCACTTGCCAACAACAGTGATGAAGAAAAATCATCAACACCTTTTCACCTGGGAAAAGTAAAAAAAAAAAATACATATTTTCTTCCAGTGAAGATATGAATAAAAGTTATTGTGCATGGGGAAGTCAGAGAGAATATTGTATTTGGTGGAGAGCTTCACTGTTGTAGCCTCCTTCCTTCCTCCCTTCACTTACCCTCCCTCCCTCTCCTTTTTCCTCTTCCTTTCTCTTTCTCTTCCTCTATTCCCTCTGTCCCTCCCTCCCCTTCCTATCTCCCCTCCCACCATCCCTCCCATTCATAGAACATGTTAATTCTTCCCATGTAAAACATAAAAGGCCACAATATATTATAATAATAGCTTTAGTTTAAACATTTAGTCACCACAAGTGTTGATGGTGGCAGTAGTGAAACATTTGACTACTCTAGACACCATCTACAGTACGTAACATTCTTGCCTCTTCTGCTAGATGATAATCTTCACTGATACCTTGTTTCACTGACTTACTCCAACACTTCATGTGTTTTCCAACATTGTTTCAATTATGTTAGATGATACATACTTGAGAAAGTTGTTGAATTATGTTAGATGATACACACTTGAGAAAGGTTTTTCTGATATTCAACCTTAGATACCTGATGCTTAATACTTGATAAATATGTTGTTATGTATTGGCTTTGTTGAGTACAGTGTATGCAATAAAATATTAATATATCCCTTCCTTACTACAACAATTAGCAGTGACCAGTGAGTACACATCTTTGTTCTTTGAATTAGTTTATATTTTTTCAATACTAAACAAATTGAATGCTATTGGTGCTGCCTTTAAAGTTAATTTGCTGTGTATACATGTTCTTGGTGAATATTTCAAGTATTTTAATAACCTAACACAACTATTGGATATTTGATTCTGATAAATGTGAAATGTAATTTCAGAGACTCGCAAGCAAACAGCGATGACAGCGTGTCGTCACACTCGAGTGTCAGTGGAGGACTGTACCACAGTCACAGCAACCCTGACCTTAGCACAGCTAGAGCTTATGATGAATTAAGAGCTGAGTTCCCAGAGCACGTGTTAAAGGTGCGTGTTTGCTCAAGTAAACACTTGAGGCTGCATATATCATAAGTATTCTTTATTATTCATGTAATTCTTAATACTTTAGCAAGTAATAAAGTAGAGGTCAGTGTAATGCTGCACTGTATGCAATGTGCACTTATTTCTTTATATTTTGGTTTATTTACAGAAGATCAGAGTTTTTTCTTAAGTTTAAGCTGAAAGATCATTAGAAAAACTGAAGTGCAAATATTTTGGCTGCTGGTTTAGTTCACATTTTGTGTTCATTGTATTTGCAACTAGCCCACAAATTATGGATCATTATTAGTACTGTAATGTTATTATAAAATGGTCTTATGAGGTAAGAGTTAGAGGGAGGGGGGAAGGGAAAAGGTACCTAATAACTAGCATGCACACAACTGATCAAGCTGAGGAAGGACAAAAGAATGCTGATGGAAAATAACAAAGAAGTATACCATGTTCTTATCAGATGATTCAAAGACATTTTCAAAGTAGAAAGTGGAGAACTACTGGAAGGCACTTTTGTGAGAACTGATCAGTGGATGCTGGAGAATATCATCACAGCAAAATGATAAAACCAGAGCTGGATGTCATGAAAGCCATGGGACCAGACAGCATATCTCCGTAGGTACTGAGAAAAGGGGCAAAACAATTATGTGACCCAGTAGCAAAGGTATTCAACCAATCTCTCTAACTAGGACAGCTGCCAAAATTTGTGAAAAAAGGCAAATGTGGTCCCTGTTTATATAAAAAACAAGGCCCTGGTTGTGGACCGGGCCGCGGGGGCGTTGATCCCCGGAATAACCTCCAGGTAGACTCCAGGTACGTATATATTGTCAGTAAGAAAAAGGATGGTGGATAACTTAGAGAAAAGATTCCTTACAGAAAACCAACACAGATTTAGGAGTGGAAAAATCATGCCTTAAAAATTTGCTGGAGTCGTATGACAAAGTCACAGAGATAAAACAAGAAAGACAGGGCAGGGTGGACTACTTGGAAGTATTTAATACAGTACAACAACACCATAGATTAATCTAGAAATTAGAGTAACACTCGAGGTTAAAAGCAAAGTAACTCCAATGGGTCAGGGAGTACTAAAATGGGAGAGAGTAATGAGTGGGGTTCCTCAAGGATCACTGGTAGAACCACTGCTGTTCCTAATATAAGTGAATGCCCTACCAGAGGGGATTAAGTTCTCTATGTCACTGTTTGCAGATGTAAAATTAATGAGAAGAATAAGAATGGGAGAGTGCAGTGATAAACTTCATAGAGTGATAAATGGTTTGAAAAACCAACAGGTTGAAGATTGAGACACTTATGCAACATATGGGAATCTTTATTGAGGAAACGTTTCGCCACACAGTGACTTCATCATCTGTCAGACACGGCAGGTACCACTATGACCCCACCTCCTCCTGCTTCGCCTCACCTGACTACAGTATATAAGCCATGTCTACGGCCCTATGCTGTACATTCTACAAGATTGATGGACTGAACACATCGACTCCAGGCTGAGGGATTGATTACCTCAAACTCCTCCTCTCCTTACACCTTCTGCTTTGTATTGGACTGATGAAGCCACTGTATGGCGAAACATTTCCTGAATAAAGATTCCCATATGTTGCATAAGTGTCTCAATCTTCAAACTCCATAGAGATATAAACAGAGGGTGAAAAGGACCTGGGGTAAATATCACAGCAAATGTATTGCCAGAAATGCACATAAACTGTATAATGTCAGTGGCACGTGCAAACCTGCCAAACCTCAAAATGGAATTCAGTGACTTGAATAAAGAATCCTTTAGAACCTTTTATACGACTTACGTTAGACCACACAATGAGTACGTGGCCCCAGCATGGAGCCCACATCTGGCCAAGCATAGGGGCTCCATATCTGGCAAAACATAACAGATATGGACAGATTATTACAATTCACAGGACCAGGATCAAGGAGCAACAGGTGGAAGCTAAAAATATATGAGAACCATAGAAATGTAAGGAAATACAGTGTTTATAAAGTCTCAGGGTTATTGAAAAGAGGAATGACTTGGATGTGGCAGTGGAGGCAAATGGATTGTACATCTTTAAGAGAAGATGTGAAATGGCCCAGATCAGAAGAAATTGATGGTGATCCAAGTAGTCTAAGGGGCAGAGCCAGGATCCTAATCTTGATTCCAGCTTTGTGAATACTTCCACTTGAATCCATGTATGCATTCGTGTGCACCTGCAATTAATTTAGGGGCAACACCAAATTAGAGCCTTTAGATGTTGGATTACCTTACAGTAGGAATCCTAGATACTGGATCACCTTACAGTGGTGTCCATAGATGTTGGATCACCTTACAGTGGTGTCCATAGATGTTGGATCACCTTACAGTGGTGTCCATAGATGTTGGATCACCTTACAGTGGTGTCCATAGATGTTGGATTGCCTTACAGTGGTGCCTATAGATGTTGGATCACCTTACAGTGGTGGCCATAGATGATGGATCACCTTACAGCGGTGCCCATAGACGTTGGATCACCTTACAGCAGTGCCCATAGACGTTGGATCACCTTACAGTTTATGTACTGGGTTTAAAGCCTGTCACCCATTATTTTTTACCCATATACTGTAGTAGAAAAAAATTTCATTTTGATAAAATTTGCTGTGACTTCCAACCTATAATTTGATCCTTTCCACGAATGGCTGAAATTAATGAATGAATATATAGCAAATAGGGAGGCTTCATTATACTCTTGCTAATGTTTACCCTCTGCATGTATGAACTTCTGTCCTCATTGAATATAATAGTGGACCCTCAACCAACGGCATTAATCCGTTCCAGAGGGCTTGCCGTTGGTCGAGTTAATTTTCCCCATAAGATGAACAAGGAGGCTTTAGGAAAGGTAGGGGGTGTGTGGACCAGGTGTTTACAGTGAAACATATAAGTGAACAGTATTTAGATAAGGCTAAAGAGGTCTTTGTGGCATTTATGGATTTGGAAAAGGCGTATGACAGGGTGGATAGGGGGGCAATGTGGCAGATGTTGCAAGTGTATGGTGTAGGAGGTAGGTTACTGAAAGCAGTGAAGAGTTTTTACGAGGATAGTGAGGCTCAAGTTAGAGTATGTAGGAAAGAGGGAAATTTTTTCCCAGTAAAAGTAGGCCTTAGACAAGGATGTGTGATGTCACCGTGGTTGTTTAATATATTTATAGATGGGGTTGTAAGAGAAGTAAATGCGAGGGTTTTGGCAAGAGGCGTGGAGTTAAAAGATAAAGAATCACACACAAAGTGGGAGTTGTCACAGCTGCTCTTTGCTGATGACACTGTGCTCTTGGAGATTCTGAAGAGAAGTTGCAGAGATTGGTGGATGAATTTGGTAGGGTGTGCAAAAGAAGAAAATTAAAGGTGAATACAGGAAAGAGTAAGGTTATGAGGATAACAAAAAGATTAGGTGATGAAAGATTGAATATCAGATTGGAGGGAGAGAGTATGGAGGAGGTGAACGTATTCAGATATTTGGAGTGGACGTGTCATCGGATGGGTCTATGAAAGATGAGGTGAAATCATAGAATTGATGAGGGAAAAAGAGTGAGTGGTGCACTAGGAGTCTGTGGAAACAAAGAACTTTGTCCTTGGAGGCAAAGAGAAGAATGTATGAGAGTATAGTTTTACCAACGCTCTTATATGGGTGTGAAGCGTGGGTGATGAATGTTAGCAGCGAGGAGAAGGCTGGAGGCAGTGGAGATGTCATGTCTGAGGGCAATGTGTGGTGTGAATATAATGCAGAGAATTCGTAGTTTGGAAGTAGGAGGAGGTGCGGGATTACCAAAACTGTTGTCCAGAGGCTGAGGAAGGGTTGTTGAGGTGGTTCGGACATGTAGAGAGAATGGAGCGAAACAGAATGACTTCAAGAGTGTATCAGTCTGTAGTGGAAGGAAGGCGGGGTAGGGGTCGGCCTAGGAAGGGTTGAGGGAGGGGGTAAAGAGTTTTGTGTGCGAGGGGCTTGGACTTCCAGGCATGCGTGAGCGTGTTTGATAGGAGTGAATGGAGACAAATGGTTTTTAATACTTGACGTGCTGTTGGAGTGTGAGCAAAGTAACATTTATGAAGGATTCAGGAAACCGGCAGGCCGGACTTGAGTCCTGGAGATGGGAAGTACAGTGCCTGCACTCTGAAGGAGGGGTGTTAATGTTGCAGTTTAAAAACTGTAGTGTAAAGCACCCTTCTGGCAAGACAGTGATGGAGTGAATGATGGTGAAAGTTTTTCTTTTTCGGGCCACCCTGCCTTGGTGGGAATCGGCCGGTGTGATAATAAAAAAAAAAAAAAAAATAATAAGAAATAATGGAAATAGAATTAATCTGTTCCTGACACCCTAAAGTCTGAATTTTTTTTTTTCCATGAAATATGCATTTCCTTATATGGAAAGGAATGGGACATGCAAAATAAACAATAATTAAATACCACTTATCTTTATTGTGGAGTTGTTGCTGAGTGATGTGCCAGCAGCAGGGGAGATTCAGGATTGTCTATTGCTTGGAAGGAGAATCCCCTTCCATAAAGACTTCAGGTACCAAGTTCTTTGGTGGGGTTACCTCCCTTCTTGGTTTTTTAATGCCACTAGGACCAGCTTGAGAATCACTGGACCACCCTCTACCACCACCACCTTTGTATTTTTCTACAAACTTTTTCTTGAATTCTATTGTGTTTCTCACATCCTTTACCAAAGCGCTGGCTCTAGAAGCTTTTGTGGGGCCCATGGTGGCTTATTTAGCGGTTACAAGCACTAGAAACAGTGGAATAATCCAAAATGTATGGGAGGCACACGTGGAAACCGACTGCAACAGCTTGTAAACAATGGCACACTGACGTCGTTGGTTAAGTTTTTCGCCATTGGTTAAGGCATTTTTTTCTACAGCAAAAAGCGCTGTTAGACGAAATTGCCGTTACTTAATGCCGCCGTTAGTTGAGGGTTGACTGTACGTATTAATGCTTAATGCTAAGCTACGATTTCAACTTTGCAATAGGTATATCTAGCTATGATTTCAACTTTTCAATAATTATTTTAAGCTATGATTTCAACTTTTCAATGAGTATATTAAGATATAATTTCTGCTTTTCAATGGGTACATTAAACTACAGTTTCAACTTTTCAACAGATATATTAAGTTACAATTTCCACTTTCCATTGGGTATATTAAGCTACAATTTCAACTTTTCAACAGGTATATCGGGCAACGGACCAGTCGGCCAGATTCCTGCCAGTGCACAAAGAAACGACTGCTCGAGAAGTGGTCATGCTTGCATTGCAGATCTTCAACATCAACGATCCAACTGGCTCTTCCAATTATGCTTTGTATGAGGTCACAGTTACAGAAGAGGGAATTACCAAGCAGAAGCGACTGCCTGATTCATTACAAAATTTGGCAGAAAGAATAGGTAAAAGAAAAAATTTTGGTGTTTTATGTGTATTAGTTGTTTTCTATTATTTTTTTTTTTTTTTTATTATCACACCGGCCGATTCCCACCAAGGCAGGGTGGCCCGAAAAAGAAAAACTTTCACCATCATTCACTCCATCACTGTCTTGCCAGAAGGGTGCTTTACACTACAGTTTTTAAACTGCAACATTAACACCCCTCCTTCAGAGTGCAGGCACTGTACTTCCCATCTCCAGGACTCAAGTCCGGCCTGCCGGTTTCCCTGAATCCCTTCATAAATGTTACTTTGCTCACACTCCAACAGCACGTCAAGTATTAAAAACCATTTGTCTCCATTCACTCCTATCAAACATGCTCACGCATGCCTGCTGGAAGTCCAAGCCCCTCGCACACAAAACCTCCTTTACCCCCTCCCTCCAACCCTTCCTAGGCCGACCCCTACCCGCCTTCCTTCCACTACAGACTGATACACTCTTGAAGTCATTCTGTTTCGCTCCATTCTCTCTACATGTCCGAACCACCTCAACAACCCTTCCTCAGCCCTCTGGACAACAGTTTTGGTAATCCCGCACCTCCTCCTAACTTCCAAACTACGAATTCTCTGCATTATATTCACACCACACATTGCCCTCAGACATGACATCTCCACTGCCTCCAGCCTTCTCCTCGCTGCAACATTCATCACCCACGCTTCACACCCATATAAGAGCGTTGGTAAAACTATACTCTCATACATTCCCCTCTTTGCCTCCAAGGACAAAGTTCTTTGTCTCCACAGACTCCTAAGTGCACCACTCACTCTTTTTCCCTCATCAATTCTATGATTCACCTCATCTTTCATAGACCCATCCGCTGACACGTCCACTCCCAAATATCTGAATACGTTCACCTCCTCCATACTCTCTCCCTCCAATCTGATATTCAATCTTTCATCACCTAATCTTTTTGTTATCCTCATAACCTTACTCTTTCCTGTATTCACCTTTAATTTTCTTCTTTTGCACACCCTACCAAATTCATCCACCATCTCTGCAACTTCTCTTCAGAATCTCCCAAGAGCACAGTGTCATCAGCAAAGAGCAGCTGTGACAACTCCCACTTTGTGTGTGATTCTTTATCTTTTAACTCCACGCCTCTTGCCAAGACCCTCGCATTTACTTCTCTTACAACCCCATCTATAAATATATTAAACAACCACGGTGACATCACACATCCTTGTCTAAGGCCTACTTTTACTGGGAAAAAATTTCCCTCTTTCCTACATACTCTAACTTGAGCCTCACTATCCTCGTAAAAACTCTTCACTGCTTTCAGTAACCTACCTCCTACACCATACACTTGCAACATCTGCCACATTGCCCCCCTATCCACCCTGTCATACGCCTTTTCCAAATCATAAATGCCACAAAGACCTCTTTAGCCTTATCTAAATACTGTTCACTTATATGTTTCACTGTAAACACCTGGTCCACACACCCCCTGCCTTTCCTAAAGCCTCCTTGTTCATCTGCTATCCTATTCTCCGTCTTACTCTTAATTCTTTCAATTATAACTCTACCATACACTTTACCAGGTACACTCAACAGACTTATCCCCCTATAATTTTTGCACTCTCTTTTATCCCCTTTGCCTTTATACAAAGGGAACTATGCATGCTCTCTGCCAATCCCTAGGTACCTTACCCTCTTCCATACATTTATTAAATAATTGCACCAACCACTCCAAAACTATATCCCCACCTGCTTTTAACATTTCTATCTTTATCCCATCAATCCCGGCTGCCTTACCCTCTTTCATTTTACCTACTGCCTCACGAACTTCCCCCACACTCACAACTGGCTCTTCCTCACTCCTACAAGATGTTATTCCTCCTTGCCCTATACACGAAATCACAGCTTCCCTATCTTCATCAACATTTAACAATTCCTCAAAATATTCCTTCCATCTTCCCAATACCTCTAACTCTCCATTTAATAACTCTCCTCTCCTATTTTTAACTGACAAATCCATTTGTTCTCTAGGCTTTCTTAACTTGTTAATCTCACTCCAAAACTTTTTCTTATTTTCAACAAAATTTGTTGATAACATCTCACCCACTCTCTCATTTGCTCTCTTTTTACATTGCTTCACCACTCTCTTAACTTCTCTCTTTTTCTCCATATACTCTTCCCTCCTTGCATCAATTCTACTTTGTAAAAACTTCTCATATGCTAACTTTTTCTCCCTTACTACTCTCTTTACATCATCATTCCACCAATCGCTCCTCTTCCCTCCTTGCATCACTTCTACTTTGTAAAAACTTCTCATATGCTAACTTTTTCTCCCTTACTACTCTCTTTACATCATCATTCCACCAATCGCTCCTCTTCCCTCCTGCACCCTATCTTCATCAACATTTAACAATTCCTCAAAATATTCCTTCCATCTTCCCAATACCTCTAACTCTCCATTTAATAACTCTCCTCTCCTATTTTTAACTGACAAATCCATTTGTTCTCTAGGCTTTCTTAACTTGTTAATCTCACTCCAAAACTTTTTCTTATTTTCAACAAAATTTGTTGATAACATCTCACCCACTCTCTCATTTGCTCTCTTTTTACATTGCTTCACCACTCTCTTAACTTCTTCTTTTTCTCCATATACTTTTCCCCTCCTTGCATCACTTCTACTTGTAAAAATTCCATATCTAACTTTTTCCCCTTACACTCTCTTTACATCATCTTTCCCACCATCGCTCCTCTTCCCCCTGACCCACTTTCCGAAACCAAAAATTTTGCTGAACACTCAAACACACTTTTTAAAACCAACCCCAAAACCCTCTTCGACCCCTTGCCTAGCTCTCAACCCCCATCTATCCTCCATCTTTATGTTGTAAAAAAAAAACAAATTTTTATTTTTATAAAAAAAGAGTTTAGAATCGTTTTTTTTTTTTAGTCCCCAAAAATATTTTGGGGAGTTTTTTGTTATTGTTCCAGCGGGGTATTGTCCCTTTTTATTTTTATTTTGTTTTCAGGTTGAGCACAGGTATTATCTGAAAAATATCCCCTATCCCAGACACTCTTTCCTGATGATATTTTTTACTGAATTAATTCGGAATCTACAGTAATTTCCTTAAATTTAACTGGGTGGAGCTGGCCATTCAATTACTTTTGAGGACTACCAGGTTCCTCAGATGAGCCCACTGAATTATTGACTACCCTTCAATTCAAGTCAATTATGAACCCCCCGCTCTGTCTCATTTGCAAGGGATGTATCTGAAAAAATTTTGATAAGTAAATTATGTTTATCTTTACTGCTACTATGAGTAGAATAAATGATTCTTTACTTTCTATATATGACTTCTTTACTGTCCATATGTTCATATGACCCCCACTGGGTTTTGCATAACAAAACCCCCTGTATCCCTTTTTTAAATGGTTGGGCTTTGCTTAGGACTTTTTTTAAAAAAATCCTCTGTTTTACATTCATTTTCTGCTCAGGTGACAGCATTCTTAAGTGGTTCATAGAACTTTTTCAAAATATTATTTTTTTGACGAAACCACAAAATTATTCCCCTAAGTCACACTCAGCCAAAATATGGGGGCGGTAGAATTTTTCTAAATCTCAAACTTTTCCCTAACGACGCGGATAATTTTTTTTCTGTACTGTAAGGTTTGATGACCAGGGAGGCTTCCCCTTTCCTTTGACAGTTGCTATGCTGCATGTTATGAATGGAGCTCTCACCTGATGAAAATACTTGTTAACTTAGAAAAAAAACATTGAAGAATGGGAAAACAAGGGGTAAAAGTGAGTGCAGAATGGTGAGAAAGCGGTCATTTAAGTAGTGCCATGAAGTCTATGTGATTTATGATCAAGTACAGAAATGTTCTTAATTTTCTAAACAAGTAATAGTTTAGAACCTAAAGTACCTGTTTTTTCATACAAATTTTAAAACTGATGCATCAACATTTCCCAAAACTAATTTTCCCCCTTTTAAAAAAACCCCTAACTTTTGCTTTCTAACTCATGAAATCAAAAAACATGATTGCAAACAAATCATGGAACCTAGGGAAGTGGGCCTTAAACCAAGGGGGCCAGTGTGAAACCCCCAAACGGGTCCCATGTGATCCAGTGAACGAATAATTTCCCCATGGTGTAAAAAATCTCATTAGAACAGCGGGTTTAGTGGTACCACGGGCCCTTGTGTTTGGGACTCATTTGCCCTTTTTCGTTTTTTTTTTGTGTTCTTTTTACTGCATAATATTTACACCCTCCTTCTCACTGCAACATTGAAAGACCATGCCTCTCTCCCGCTACAGAAGTGTTGGCATTACTATGCTCTGGAACATTCCTGTTTTTGCTTCTGTTGATAAATTTCTCTTTCCATACATAACTAAGGGGTCCCATCTTTAAATGCGTAAATAACCATGATAACACCATACGTCTTTGTCAGGTGTCTAGTTTTAATGAACATCAGTTTCCCTTCTCTCCTGCATTTCCTAATCTGAGTCTTGCTAATAAAATCTCTCTCAATATTTTTAATACTCCTTGCTTTTACATAATCACAAAATATAATAACAGATTGCAAACAAATCAGGGAACATGGGAACTTGAACCCGGGCGGGTTTTTAGATTCACTTGTCACGAGTTCAAAAACCCCTATCCTTTCCCTGATTTACATTTTTGCATAAATTCCGCTTTTTAAAAACTCGATAGATAGTATTTCTTTGTTTTGGTGTTTTATTCATTTTAGATTTTTTTTTGTCAGTTTTATCTTTGTTTCTTTTTTGTGTAGATTTTTTTTTACTGCCTTGAGTGTTGAATGATTACCTGTAAAAGTGTTCTTCAAATTTTAAAAAAATCCATACTTTTGCAACCCCGCACATTGTTCACTGTAAAACCCTATCTACATTTTCTAAAATCCAAAAAGGGTTTTCCCATAGTTGATTGGAGCGCATTTTCACCCAAAATGGGGGGTTGGGGTTTACCCCCGGGTACGGGGGGAAGCAAAAAGACATTTTTCCAAAGGAACCTACTGTCAGTTCCCCTAACAGAAAAAATATTCCCTTTGTTTTTA